GGATGGGTGGGGTTGGGTGAGGTATGTCAAAGCTGGAATATATAGTAAGTCTTTTAAGCAAGAACAGGTAACCTCAGGTATCCTGGACAGCACCTTGATAAATGAAACCCAGTATAGAGGAGCAGACTGAGTACAGAGGAACAGAAGTGAAGAAGCTGTCAGTGGGCAGATGGAAAAACAGTGCTTGTACTAGTAAGGGGGCAGAAATATACAGATTTTATGTATAATTAGAAAGCAAAATTCACAGGATTTAATATTTATGTAATACAGTATTTTAGGCATTGTTCCATGTGCTGAAGATTCAGCAGTAGGGGAAAAGGCAGATAATGCTGTGTCTTGGGGTTGGTGTTGCATAGCTCAGTTGTAGAATGCTTGCCTAATGTGTGCCAGACTCCATATTGGATTCTCCAATACAAAAGAATAATTATGTTCTTGGCACAATTAAATTGTATGGTGGCTAGTGGATTCTGTAGCTCCTTTGTGCCTGCCTCACAAAAACTATCAGGAAATTTGAGGCCTGGTTGCTAAAAGCCAGCAATTATTAAACTGTAGCCAGCATCATGGCTCCCTACATAGACCAGGCTGGCCTTGAACCCACAAAGATCCTCTTGCCTCTACCTCTTTCGTGCTGGAATTAACATCATGCACCACCATGCCCAGCTATTTCTCAAGGCATCTGGTTTGTTTAAAGTGTGCATATAGGGTTTTAAAAAATGTGTATTAGCAAAAGTTTATGTATTGTTTCTGTGCTGTTGGACAGGTAAGTTTCTCCAGGATCTGTCATCATAAACCTGCAAGCTGCTGGTTGTGGTGGCACACACCTTCAGTCCCAGCCCTTGGAAGGCAGGCCAGCCAGGGCTATACGGAGAGAACCTGTCTTGAAAAACCATTAAAACAAAACAACCCTTTGAGCTCAGTACTCACGAAGCTGTAGTGAGAGGATCGTGGGTGTAAGGCCAGCATGGGCTATATACTGTCCCTTTAAAGAAAAATAAAGTTGACCTATGACTTTAAAATTAAATCTTTGTAAAAGTAAACACTGAAGAATACTCAAAAGCATTACTTGCTGCTCATTGTACCACTGTATTGTTACTTGTGGCCTGGATTTCTTTACATCTGTGGGGTAGGAGACCACATAGAATTCCATTATGACATGTCTCTCCCGATTCCATATTTCAAACATTTGGTAGCTTGATCGACCGTGATAGGATTTATACCACAGAAGCCAGCAAATGTTACAAATCAAGGCTTTCTCCCCCTAGAGAATAACTGCTAAATATTTACTGCCATGACCCTCCATAAACTTAGGAGCATACCTTGGAATCAGGAAGCCATAGTTTAAATCATGCTCCATCAGCTGCTAACAATGTGATTTGGCTAAGATACCTAATGTTGGTTTCCTCAATCATAAAACAAGACAAACAGTTCTGCCTCAACCATTTGTACAGCTAACACAAAACACCTGAGGAGGAGGATTTAATTTAAAAGAAATGTATTTCTCACAGGTCTGAAGCCAGAAAGTTCAAGATTAAGGTGCTGGTAGATTTGGTGCCTCGTAGAGAGAGAGAGAGAGAGAGAGAGAGAGAGAGAGAGAGAGAGAGAGAGAGAGAGAGAGAGAGAGAACCTTTTTATGTGCTGTTTTTATGAGTTCCTTATCCTAAAACCTTCCGCATGTGTGCCACCTCCCATCTCTGCCTCATTGAGGAGTAAACTTTCAGTGCATGGATTTGAAGAGGATAAATACATGCAAACCACAGGAACAAAATAAAACATTTAATTAAGTGAAATTTCAATAAGTGCTTATATAACAGCAGATATAGGTACCTAGTAGATATGAATGAATTCTTTTCTACTCATAGGGAAATAAGAATAGGCTGTTTAGGGGTAGAAAAGATGTCTCAGAAGACCAGAGTGTGGTTCCCAGCACCTATATCCAGAGGATAATAACTGTCTGTAACTACAGTTCCAGGGTTCCAACACTGTCTCTGACCTCCTCAGACACCTGCACACAGTACAAATACAAGACAGGTAGGCAAACACATGTAAATAAAAAACAAAAAGGAATGGACTGACTATCCAGAAGATCCATTATAAAGCAAAAGAAAGTGTTTTTGTTGGAGAGGTCATTTGGGAGAGTGAGCTCTTTTTGGGTGCCTTAAGATTTATTCCTAAACTTTCTAATCCCAGGAGTGGGAGAATCTAGTCTCTGCTCTGGGGTGCATTGTGAAAGCATCAGGCCTGGCACACCCAGTACTCAGTCATCCCAGGAGGAATGACTGAAGTCAGATTAGTTTCAAGGCAGGTTGGATGAAGCTATCCCAAGGAATAATGAGGTCAATGTTCAGCTTAAATATAGAGCCTTACAACGAATGCCAGAGGATGTCCTAGCTACTAAAGCATTAGCTGGCCTATGTTCAGTCTTTCCTGGAGGAAGTAAAAAAGCTGTTGGTTGGGAAAATTGAAAAGACAACTCACCAAAAGGGAAATGATTGTATTTTTCAGAACTTGAAATTCCCCGGAAATCAAACTGGAGACTGAGGTCTCTACGCCCCCTCTGAATACTGGAGGGTTACAGAGGACAGGAAAGGGGCAGAGAAGAGAATGTGCATGCCCCTAAGCCCACACAACAAGGGGTTAGGAGGAGTGATAGGGCAAGTCTGGAAAGCCAGTGAGCAGGAGGGAAATCTTCCCAGCCTCTGACCTGTGCTTGAAGATATGAGTGTACTGGTGTCCGTGGTCTCCAGGGGGCGCCTGTGCATAACTACAAGCAAACTTCTTGGTCCAGGCAGAAAGAGGGCTGGATGGACTGAGGACAAGCAGAGGTGGCCTCGTCTGATGAGAGGAATAAAAACAATGTCTGTGCAGTGTTGAGTGCTTGAGGAGAGTTAGCTTGTATCTTATGACCTGTGACCGCCACCAGCAAATCCGCAGCCCAGAGTTGGCAAGTGGATGTAATCCTCTACCTCACAGTTTTTATCTGGAAGTTGGACTTCATCTGTGCTGTCTGCTTGTGAAACACTGTGGGTGGTGTCTAGTCAGTCCCTGGAGGTTCTGGCATTTAAGCCACCAGATGAATGGTAGATGAGTTAGGAGACAACAATATTAAAGGACCATAAGCATTTTTCTGAAGCAGGTGATGGATCCAGGGACGGTGTAATGGGCCCCAGAACTGTTTGGGAAGAGGCAACGCTGTAAAATGGGCACCTAGTATTTGTGCTGTTTCTGTTTAGAGGACTCTGCTAAGCAGACAGACTGGCCTACAAGTTAGTAAAGGCTATATAAAGTATCAGAGGCTGTGAGGAAGAGAGTCAGCTACCAGTGCAGATCCAGCCAGAGATGCCTTGAGATGGGAGAAGGTGGGTGTCAGGCCTCAGTTGTAGGAGCTGTGTCTTTTTTCCTTTGGGAATCTAGCTTTGCCCACTGACCCATGAGGAAGGAGTGACACTAATAGCACATGTTCATTGTTAGTCAGGAGAAGACAGTGTATGTGATGGCAGGGGTCTCATGTCCCTGAGTTCCCAGAGCTCTGATGTTCTGGTTGGAGGAAGTTTTGCAGAATAGAAAAGAGATCCTGGGGCAATAGGAGCAGCTCAGTAGCAGGGCACGTGCTCAGCATGAGCATGGCCTGCAGTCTCATCTCAGCACTAAATAAAGGAGACAGTTAGCTCAGGCTTCTGCCAAGGTTTGATAGAGGGATGTAAGCACCATAAGACCACCCAAGAAGGATCACTAAGGAACAGAGGTCTGGGAGACTCAGGCTAAAGCATAGCTGTTGCTACCTACAATTCATTACTGAGCTGGAAGCAAGTCTTGGGTGTAGCTGAGGCAGGCTTTGAAGGTCCCAGGGAGTGGTGAGAATAGGATGTACTGGGAATGGCAGATGATATCTCAGGAAGGAGAAGGATGTGGGACCAAAACATCAGGGAGAGAAAGGGCAGTGACAAGCAAATGTGACCCCTAGAATTCTGTGTGTACCCATAATGCAGATACCCCCATTAATAATGTCCACTTGCTTCAGAAGAGGGAAAATTTTTGGAAATATAATGGTAAGAGGAAAAGAAGGTCAGCAAAGTGAATACAGAACAAGAACAGGGCTGGGAATGGCAAAATGCTTGCCTGGTGTATGGGAAAACCCAGGATTGCTTAAGAACCAAAACCAACAAAAAGCAATCAATAGGTAGCTGGAAAATAATTAAAGTTTTGCTAGGTGACATAAAGGAAATCAGAAGCTGAGAGATCAGGAAAGTTAGTCAAGAAAGCATGTATGGAGAAGGTTACATTTAAGTCAAAATCAGTTGTAACGATTGTGCAATCCTAGTTACAGTTCAGTAGGTTCTGTGATAGGTAAATAAGTATTTCTCCCCCCCCCCAAAGTTGGAATTATCAAGAGAGGCTACAGGGAAATATACACCCTTTGGGCCCTGATACCGTCAGACCTTCTCTCAGAAGAAACTTTTTTTTTTTTTTCTTGCTAGGGGTTGGGTTTGGGACAGGGTTTGGAAATAATGAGACAATATTTGGCAGTAGTGAGATAATATCTCCAAACCAGTTGGGGTTTGGGGTGTCCCTAGAAGAGGCCCCCATGACTGATGCTTGAAAAAGGTTCTTTTGAGTATTTCTTAGGAAGCTCATTTGTATGTGCAGGGTAATAAGCAGTGGTTGAACATAGGCTTTGGTTAAGTTGGACTCAGTACGCAGAAAAGGTTCATTTCCTCCATCTTCTCTCCTCTCCCATTGTAGAGATAAACTCAGCCTCAGAAAGGTAACTTCCCACCCTATTCTGATTTATGAGCACCTACACCTGTCAGTATTCCAGAGCATCCCAGTGGATATGGGCTAGTCATAGCTGGAAATTTGTTGAAGGGGGTGGGGGCTACTGCCGGGAAGAGAGAGTCTTGGATTTGGGTTTCTTTTTAGACTTTGACCTTATTTGCTGTGATGCCATCTGCAAATATGACATCAATATTTCTCAATAGGGTTGGAAATGGGGGTGGTGCTGTTACCAATTCTGTATAAGTTCAGCCTCATGCTGAGTGCTGTCCTGTTGCCTTTCCAGCTCAGCATGGCTAGGATGGTGGTAGCACCAGTAACCCTGGTGTTGCTGGGCCTGTGCTGGTCCCTGGCTGTTGCCAACCCGCTTCCTTCGTGAGTAAAGCTGGACTTAGGAATAGAGGATTGTGATCTGGGCTTGAGTGTGATGGGGCCAGTTTCCAGACCTAGGTCATGAGCTAAGGAAGAGGAAGAGGACCCAGTGGACCCAGATATCTATTTGTGTTTTCTCTAGTGCTCATGGGAATGTTGCTGAAGGTGAAAGTGGGACCAAACCAGACTCCGATGTAATCGGTGAGGCCCCAATTCCCTGAGTCTTTGTCTTCTCTGTCTCTGCATTTTATCATCTTACTGATATTTTTTTTTTCAACCCAGAGCGATGCTCAGATGACTGGAGCTTTGATGCTGCCACCCTGGATCACAAGGGGACCATGCTGTTCTTTAAAGGTAGGAGAAAGCTATGCATATTGGTACATGCTAGTAATATATATGTATTTCCCAGCACTAAGAAATCCAAGGCAGGAAAATAATAAGTTCAAGACCAGCCCAGACTACATAGATGACTCTGTCTAAAAACCAAACTAATGAAAGAGACAAAGGTTGGAATATTTGGGCCTCCAGGCACGGACCCTTCAGAAAGTCTTTAACTGTGAAGAGGGCTCAGGGATTTTCTGAGGGTATAAATAGCTATCTCAGTCAACTAAATGTTTGTTCTGGATAACCTCAGAAATGTTGGCTTTTCAGGGGAGTTTGTGTGGAAGGGTCACCAAGGGATCCGAGAAACAATCTCAGAGAGATGGAAGAATTCCACCAGCTCAGTGGATGCTGCATTCCGCCATGGGTCTGACAATGTCTTCCTCATCAAGGTACTGCTTGGTCAGGGGAAGAGCTGGCCTGGAAAGGGCTAGAACCAACATTAGAGTCCCTCCTCCCTCAAGTGTCCTTGGCATGGATCCTGACTTGGTCCATTTTCTGCTGCTGCAATAGAATATCAGATGCTAGATAATTTCAATGAATAGTATTTTACTTGGCTTATGGATCTGGAGTTTGGGAAGCCCAAGGGCATAGTGCTGGTATCTAGCAAGGAGATTCATACAGCATCACAGCCTATAAAAAAATGGCACCAAGGTAAAAGAAAGAAGGCATGAGAGAGCCAGAGGGTCTAAATCTGCTTTTTATAGCAGATTATATCTTAGGATAACTAACCTGCTCCCATTGTCATATTGAGCCAATAATGACATTAAGCCATTTGTGAGGCTAGGCTCTGAGGAACTAACATTCCAGCACTATTGTATGGGAATGAACATATAACCTTAAAGGTCACATTCAAACTATGGCAGGACCTTGCCAATATGTACAATTAAGAAAATGTCCTACAGCCAGATCTTATTGAAGCAGTCCTTTGAGATAACTCTAGCTTGTGTGAAGGTAACATAAAATTAGTCAGCACAGCCAGTCCCAAAATGTTTGTTGCTTGGGGATCCACTCTTAGCCTTTCCAAGTACTCTCCGTGTGATTTCAACAACTTCCATGGCTCTGAGTGCTTGGTGCTCTCGATATCAGATCTGTATCACTCTCCTGAGCTTTGGAAATCTCTTTTCACTTTCCTATTGAAAAATCTTTGACTTAGCTATTTCTCAGATAAACCAAACTCAGCATCCTCTCAAATACATTTAACATCTTCCTTACAAAGCAACCTTTCCCCCTATTTTATCCATATGCTTTTTGCATGCTTTTCACCTTGGTGGCTGAATGGCTGGGATGTAGCAATTGCTTTCAAGGGATCTTGTTATCCCTGGATGCTCAGTGCTTCTCATGATGGCTCATTCTGTAGTAGTTATTCAGTGTATGTTTTTTGAATGAATCTATAAATAAATGAGCAAATGATATATGAATAACAAGTGATTAGAAGATACTTATGTGTAGATGTGCTTGCCAAACTAAGAGTACTGTAATTAAGTGTGCCACAGGAGTGTCTGGTTATACATAACCAGATGTGAATGCATTGTAGTGTGGTGACTGTGTTGGCTGAGAGTACAAGGAGCAACATGGTGTACTCCATTAATGGACTGAAAGTGCAGGAAGCTGTAAGGAGACGCTGAGTAAGTGCAACAAAGCAAAAGTGCATGTACATGCAATGTATCTGCAGGTGAACAGTTCCTAAGAGAGTGCTTTTAAATGCAGGGAGACAAAGTCTGGGTATACCCTCCTGCAAAGAAGGAAAACGGATATCCAAAGTTGCTCCAAGAAGAATTTCCTGGAATCCCATACCCACTGGATGCAGCTGTGGAATGTCACCATGGAGAATGCCAGAGTGAAGGCATACTCTTCTTCCAAGGTGTGTCCTCATGGGGATCTGAGAACACAGCTGGATTCATGGTTCTCAGGGTGTTCATGGTGCTGGCGGAAGAGCCACTATTGTCTCTATAAGGAAAGAGATTGGGAAAGCCAGTTGCAGGCTAGAGGTCAAGTGGAGTAAGGTAGAAGTCATTCTGATGAAGGTAAATGGGCTTACATTTCTCCTTCATTCCTAATGACACTGGGACAGACCTATGCTCCTTGGCCTTATGTACACATCTCACCATGACAAACCCCTATTGACCTTCTCACTTTGACTTCTGCCATTCCCTGGCCTTGTCTCCAGAAACTCCACACTATTCCCTGAATACCAAATTTGCCTTCAGCTTCCTTCCTTGTCAACTTTCTAAGTCCTGCCTCAGATTTCAGTTTGTTTCTTCTCTCTGACTTCCCCCAACTCTTCCTGTTACTGGATTGATCATGTACACCTTGCTGCTGGCTTTTGATGTATGATCACTCTATTCAGCTGCCTCCCTGCTGTGCTCGTTTGCTCCATGGAGCCACCCTCTGTATCCCACCAATTCTGGGCCCCAGTACAAGCTCAAGGTGCGCAAAACCCAGCCTCAATGTCGTTTGATTCCTTGGTCATAGGTAACCGCAAGTGGTTCTGGGACTTTGCTACAAAAACCAAAAAGGAGCGTTCTTGGCCAGCTGTTGGGAATTGCACTGCAGCCTTGAGGTGGCTTGAACGATACTACTGCTTCCAGGGCAACCAGTTCCTGCGCTTCAACCCAGTCACAGGAGAGGTGCCTCCCAGATACCCCTTGGATGCCCGTGACTACTTCATGTCCTGCCCTGGCAGAGGTGAGAAAGCCCCAGCCTTTGGGACCTACTAGAATTTATCCATGCTGGCTGAGCTCGCTGAGCCACTTCCCACCTTGACTCTGTACTCTAACATCTTAGGCGTAGCTCCTTCCATTGCCCTCAAACAGGAGAAACCCATGTTCCTACTAACCATGGCTATCTTTTCATCAGCAGAACCTACTCTAAACCCAGACTCCCTCCATCTCTGTTCCCACCACCTATTTATCTTCCAGGCCATGGAAGACACAGAAATGCAACTGGCCACAGGAATAGCACCCATCCTATGCATTCACGCTGTAGCCCAGATCCCGGCTTGACTGCTTTGATGTCTGACCACCGTGGAGCCACCTATGCCTTCAGTGGTGAGAGACTACCCCAAACTCCCCATCTCTACCCTCCTGACTCTTGTGTCTTCTCTGGTGTCTTCATCACCATGTCCCGTATTTTGTCCCTTTGCACCTCACCTCCCGTTAGCACTCCCATCTCCTCAGATGCATATTTTCAACCCTATCTTTCATCGTCCAGGCCTTCCTTCTACATGTTCTACCTGTCTGATTCTCAGTGTCATCTACTCCCCTGTCTACGTATTCTGGGGGACCCTATATCCCCAGTAATCTCTCGTGTTCCCCTTGCCCTGCTGAGTTCTCTGATTGGCACTTGCTCTCTGAACCTCTCTGTGTGTTCACACCTGCTTGTGTCCCTTGCTCTTGCATGTCTCTCTGAGACTCCTGGCTCTTACTTGCTCTCTGGATCTCCCTGTGTCTCTGTGCCTCCTTGTGCCATTTGTTCTCACACATGGCTTTCTCAGTACTCTGCCTTCCCCTTAATTTATTTCAGGAACCCCATCCTTCTAAGGTGTTTAGTTCTTACTTCCCAGCCTCTGGACTCAGTATCACTTAGGGATGGACCCTTTCATACTCAAGACTCTTAGAATGTAGCTTCAAGATTTTTTTTTTTTTTTTTTTTTTTTGCTTTAAATGTCCGATGAAGAGACTCCTCCCTTGACCCCGTGTCATCAGTTGATAAAAGCCACCTCATGATATTTTGGGGCATACAACTCCTTAGGTAGGTAGTGATGGGGCACTCTCTACACTGCAGACATCTCCAAAATGGGGAGGGAACAACCACATTACGTTCAACCTGAGATATATGTAGCAAAAATGGCATAAATGGCAAGGGCACAGAAAAGTAAATATCTTTTTAATTCCTAACTTCTGAGCAAATACAATCTGTTGTGATTACATGTTCTATTGAGAAATATATAACTACATGGAAAGTGTAGCCTCTCAGCATGAATGCACACCTTAATGAAAACATATAACTTCAATGAGACATACATGTTGTGACAATACAGAGTTGAGCTGAGAACACGTCATAGGAAGAAGTGTCAGGAAAGTATGCATCTATGGTCAGTGTGTGGGATCATTGGGGGCAACCACAGACTAAGTGTGTGTGTGTGTGTGTGTGTGTGTGTGTGTGTGTGTGTGTGTGTGTGTTGGGAGCAGAGATTGATTGGAACAGCCTAGGTTTGGGGTACCAAACAGGACCAAACGAATGTATCAGGTGGACAATTAAATTTGAGCCTAAAGTTCAAAGGAGATGTCAGTCTGAATGGAATAGAATTTATGGGTGTCCTAGCACACAGATGGTATTTGTGAGACCATGAAGGGGGGTAAAGGCATTTAGAGAAGAAAAGAGGACAAAATAGGAACTCTAATTTCTTAGATAGAAGGCCAAAAAGGATAGTCAAAAAGATAAGCAGCATGATGGATGAGTCTGGAACTATAGGAGCCAAGATTTTCTTTTTTGGAAGGCTTAATGAGGGAGGAATGGTTAGGAGTGTAGCTCAGTTGGTAGTGTTTGCTTCACATGCGCAAAGCTCTGGACTGGATCCCTAGTGCCATGTAAACTGGGCATGGCAGGTGGAAGCAGAGGATCAGAAATTCATGAATGCCACTCACAGATCCAGAGCCTACATAAGAACCGAGACCCTGTCTGTAAAGAAAAGGGAGTGGTGAGCAGTCAATTGCTGCTGAAAGCCGGGAGATAGGAATTAACCATTAGATTTGGAGGACAGTGCTGACTGACCTTGATAGGAAAAATTTCAATGGAGGATAGAAACACAAACATCATTAGAGAGCAATGAGGGAAAGGGAAGTAAGTGGGAGTCAATTCTTTTAGTAAGTTACTATGAAATAAAAGATTTTGGAGAGGTGGCTAAGTGGTTAAGAACACTAGCTGATCTTCCACAGGTCCTGAGTTCAATTCCCAGAAATCACATGATGGCTCACAACCATCTGTAATGAGATCTGGTACCTTCTTCTGGCCTACAGGGATCCATGAAGACAATGCTGTGTACATAATGAAAGAGGTTGGAGAGATGGATCAGTGAGTTAGCTTGCTAGCTGCTCAAGTGAGTTTGGATTCCCCAGTATCCATGTAAAAGGCCATGTAAATGAGGGTGTGCACTTGTACCTATACTGTTGGGGAGCAGCCACAGAAGGACCATTGGGATTTTCTGGCTGCCAGCCTACCTCTAGAGTAAGTGAGAGATCTTGTTTACAAGAGGAGAAGGTGGAGAATGACTGACAGAGCAGGTCCTCCTGTGACCTTTGGACAGGATGATGTTGAGTGCACGTATCCCCTTCTGTTCACATGTGCATATGCCTTACTCACAAATACCACACACATTTGCTGAAGTCTGGTTTGCTGTTCTCCAGGATTGTCTCTCTATGGAGTTCCAGCCCCAATGGAGCCACAGTCCCCAACATGGCTGTCCTCTCACTCTCCCTGTTCCTTCTTGGCCTCTGCATACACTTCCTCTCATGACTCAAACCTGTATTCATTGCTTGTTACCTTTTACCACCAGCACTAGCACTACCTCTAATATCCCACAGGCTCCCACTACTGGCGTCTGGACTCCAGCCGTGATGGGTGGCATAGCTGGCCCATTGCTCATCATTGGCCCCAGGGGCCTTCAACAGTAGATGCTGCCTTTTCCTGGGATGACAAAGTCTATCTCATCCAGGTATGTTTTGGGAGAAAGGCTTAAGATGGAAATTGGGACAAGACTGTACAGGTCTATATTGATTACTCTCCTTTGTCCCCTAGGGCACTCAAGTATATGTCTTCCTGACAAAGGGAGGCAATACCCTAGTAAGTGGTTATCCAAAGCGGCTGGAGAAGGAAATTGGGAGCCCTCCTGGGATCAGCCTTGAGACTGTGGATTCAGCCTTTACCTGCCCTGGTTCCTCCAAGCTCTATGTCACAGTAGGTGAGGAACTATGGGTACTAAGGGGTGTCTGGTTCTGCTAACTATTCGAAACATAGATGACCAGGAGGGGATGAGAAAAGTTGAGATTCTCATGTTTTAGAAGCTATGTTCAGTTTGTTGTCTTCTTTCCAGGACGGCGGCTATGGTGGCTGGACCTGAAGTCAGGTGCTCAGGCGACATGGACAGAGCTTTCTTGGCCTCATGAAAAAATTGATGGGGCTGTGTGTTTGGAAAAGTCCCTTGGTCCCAACTCATGTTCTTCCAGTGGTCCCAGCTTGTACCTTATCCATGGACCCAATTTGTATTGCTACAGCAGTATAGGCAAACTGAATGCTGCCAAGATGGTCTCTCAGCCCCAGAAAGTAAACAGTCTCCTTGGCTGCAGTCAGTAAGAAGCTGATGGGAATTAGCCGAGCTCAGCCCAGCCCAGCCCAGCCACTTCTCCATTTTCATCCTAATAAAACCAGATGGCTTCTTCACATGAATCGTGGGATGTTGATTGTGATACAGTCTTTTTGAAAGCATATTGGTATGTGCATGTGAGTGCAAGTGCCCACAGAGGTGAGAGGGATTGGAGCCCCTGGAGCTGGAGTTATAGGCAGCTATGAGATACCCAACATGGGTGCTGGGGAATCAAACATGGATTCTAGTTAAGAGCACTATGAGCTCTTAAAAACTGAGCCATGTCTCTCATGCAAGCAACTACTCTTTTGAGACTCAAAAGTTCAAACAAGGCTGTGAGAAGCAAGGGCAATACATAGATGCACTTTCTTCCTTTTTTTTTTTTTAATTTCTTACATTCCAATCCCAGTTCCCCCTCCCTCCTTTCCACCCACTCTCTCCACTCCACCCTCCTCCCATATGCTCCTCAGAGAGGGTGAGGCCTCCCCTAGGAAGTCTACTAAGTCTGTCCCATCATCTAGTTGAGGCAGGACCAAGGCACCTCTCCACCCTCACACCCCAGTGTCTAAGCTGGGCAAGGCATCTCTCCATATAGAATGGTCTCCATTGAGTCAGTTTGTGCATTAGTGTTAGGTCTTGGACCTGCTGTCAGTGGCCTCATATATTGTCCCAGTCACACCATTATCACCCATATTAAGGGAGTCTAGTTGGGTCTTATGCAGGTTCCCCATTTGTCAGATGTGAGTCAGTGATCTCTCACCAGCTCGGGTCAGCTGAGTCTGTGGGTTTCCCCATCATGGTCTTGACTCCTTTGTTCATATTGTTCCTCCTCTGTCACTTTGATTGCACTCCAGGAGCTTGGCCCATTGGTTAGATGTGGATTTCTGCATCTGCTTCCACATAGATGACTTCTAATCCAAACCACGGGCCTTTTTTTGTTTGCTTTTCCTTTTATTTCTTCTGATTCCTCTGATCCTCCTCCCCTCCCATCCTTCTTCTTATCTTCTTCTTTGGTCTCATGTGGCTTAGGCTGGCTTCAAACTCCCCATTTCGCTGAGGATGTCCTTGAACTTCTCTAATCCTACTGTCTTGACCTTTCTGGTACTGGGGTTACAGGCATGTGTAAGGAGTAAGGTTTTCCCCGCCAGCCTGGACCCACTGCGACCCACTGCGGTGGCAGCCCCAATTAACACACCGAGACTCTGTATTTGATATAATGCTGTTGGCCAGGTACTTGTTTCATATCGGCTAGCTCTGTCTTAAGTATTAACCCATTTCTATTAATCTAAGTATTTCCACATGGTCTCATCTTACCTGGGAGTGGGGCCAGCATCTGGTCTCTTTTTTACTCCATTGACATGAGACACTGTTGCTCCTGACAGCACCGTGCACTTTCCCAAAAATATGTTGGACACTGTTGTTGCTCCTGCTGGAGTCCATTCTCGCCTCAGCTAATGGCCTCTTGGGCAAAGAACTGCCCCCACCTTGACCACTGATTTGGAGATGCAGTCCTATGTGCTTGTAGGAGACAAATATAGAAAACTGCTGAACCTTGCCAAGTCAGGGTAAGACAGCCTTTCTACCTCTCTGCTGTTGTTGTGGTCTGTCAAGTACTCTTGGCCTTAGCCAAAACTGGGTGTACCAATGTTGCTGTGGGACCTTGGGTGACTGTCCAGGTAGCTTGCTGTTTCTGTCCTCGCTGCACCTTTTGGAAGTTGCCCATCCGCACTTCCTATCTACCCTAGTATCGTTATTTTCCTTCTCAGGTCTTGATGAAGTTGAAGATTAAGCTATCACAACTATTATTCTCTCTTCCTAGTTAGATATATTAGGTACTAGACTTAAGTTTTCCAGCTTAGGACAACTCTATTGTGAACTCCGTTATGCCTTTACCCTAGGACTAAGTATGTAGGTCGTTTTGTTTTCGATTTTCCTTTTCTTAGAGCACACTTGTTATTCACTGTTTTGTATATAGTTTTGTATCAAGCCTAAATCTTTTCTTTAGACTAAAAGGGGAATTATAGTGGGATATTCACTTTGTCTCCTTCTGTGACACTGACCACACCCATAGGGGGTGGAGCCAGGGGCGGAAGTGACCTGTGGAACTAGGTCTGGGGAGGAGCTGGGGAACACTCTCTTGCTGGCTTGATGGTGGGATATGGAGAGGAGAGCATCGGGTGGAACTTGCTGGTGTTCATCTGTCTAGGTTGTAAGTTATTTCTCCCTGAATAAACATCTATTTGACCTATTTGTTCCTGATCCTTATTAAACCGCAATAGGCATGCACTACCATGCCAAGTTTATGCCATGCTGGAGATCAAACCTAGTACTTTGTGACTGCTAGACAAGCACTCTACCAACTGAGACACATTCCCAACCCAGAACATGATTTATTCCAGTCTGTCTACACATACTGAGAAAAAAAAAAAAAAAAGACCAGTATAGGAAGAGAAACTGTTGAATGTGCACAGCATGTAAGAGAGCTAAGATTATGACCTAACCTGAAAATTGAGTACAACTGGCTCTACATAAGGAGCCATAGGTCTTGGGGCAACTATGCTATTCAAAGTGGATTGGCTAGAGTTGCTGTGGAATGTCTTTTGTGGGTGGGTGGGTGGCTCAAACTATAAATTCTTCTGAATGGTTCTGGTAGAAATCAGCAGTGAAGATTTTATTGCCTTGAGTTAAGCACAAGTGGAATGAAGGCAAAATGGGAAACAAGAGCACTAGGTGTGTGGCAGTGGCAGGTTGGAGACAGAAGGAATGGCTCTGAAAGCTGGAACAGTGGCATGCATAATAGAACCAGTCTCTGGGGGATTTTTCTGGGGCCTGGAGCCTTGTACAGTCTGCTGGTAGGGGGTGGTCTGGCTTCCTTTTTACCCTCCATGGTGTTTGCTCCCTAGAGACCAGCAGATGCCTCCTATATAGAAGTTACAATGCTTGGTTGTTTTCTGCTCAGAAGGAAACCAAAGGATTTTTTTTGTTTGGTGTGTGTGTGTCCTTGAACTTTTTTTAACATTAGAAACAATCTTATGTATGTATCAGTCTCAGTTCCCTCTCCCTCCCATTCTCCATCCCCCCCCCACGACAACAATTCCCATCCCTCTTCTGCTCCATAGAAAGGGTGAGGCTGTCTATGGGAGGTCATCAAAGTCTGTCACATCATTTGGGGCGGGGCCTCTGTTCTTCCCCCAACTCAATCTTCCTGGTCCCCTATGTTTTCTTCCCCCCCTTCTCCCCTTCTCTTTCTCCTAACTCCCTCTCCCCTTTTTCTGTGTTCCAAATTTGCTCAGGAGATCTTGTCCCTTTCCCTTTCTCAGGGACCATGTATGGCTCTCTTAGGGTCCTCTTTGTTTCCTAGCTTCACTGGAGGTGTGGATTATAGGCTGGTAATCCTTTGCTCTATGTCTAATATCCATATATGAGTGAGTACATACCATGTTTTCATTTCATGACTGGATTACCTCACTCAGGATGGTTTCTTCTAGTTCTATTCATTTGCCTGTGAATTTCAAGATTTCATTGTTTTTTTCCACTGAATAATACTTCATTGTATAAATGTACCACATTTTCTTTATCCATTATTCAGTTGAGGGACATCTAGGTTGCTTCCAGGTTCTGGCTATTACAAATAATGCAGCTATGAACTCAGTTGGACAGATGTCCTTGTTGTATGAATGTGCATCCTTTGGGTATATGCGTAAGAGTGGAATCGCTGTGTCTTGAGGTAGACTGATTCCCAATTTCTTGAGGAACTGCCATACTGATTTCCAAAGTGGCTGTACAAGTTTGTACTCCCAACAGCAGTGGAGGAGTGTTCCCCTTTCTCTACATCCTCTCCAGCATAAACTGTCATTGGTGTTTTTGATTTTAGCCATTCTGACAGGAGTAAGATGGTATCTCAGAGTTGTTTTGAGTTGCATTTCCCTGATGGCTAAGGATGTTGAGCACTTTCTTAAGTGTCTTTTAGCCATTCTAGATTCCTCTATTGAGAATTCTGTATTTAGTTCTGTACCCCACTTTTTAATTGGATTATTTGGTGTTTTGGTAACTAGCTTCTTGAGTTCTTTGTATATTCAGCCCTCTATCAGATGTGGGATTGGTAAAAATCTTTTCCCATTCTGTGGGCTGCCATTTTGTCTTGTTGACTGTGTTCTTTGCCTTACAGAAGCTTCTAAGTTTGAGGAGGTCCCATTTATTAATTGTTAATCTCAGTGTCTGTGCTACTGGTGTTATGTTCAGAAAGCGGTCTCCTGTACCAATTGTTCAAGGGTACCTCCCATTTTCTCTTCTAAGAGGTTCAGAGTGGCTGTATTTATGCAAACCAAAGTTTTAGAACTCATTACATTTACCCATTTATAGAGTTTTAACAGCTGAGATTCCCTTTTCCTTCTAAAGTCAGCTGAGATTGGAGATTGGTTTGTTTTAGGGCCTAAAATTTAGGCTCAAAGAATAGCCTTAAGCTCTGTGTGGGTGGCGGTATTTTTTTTTATGCCTTTGAGTGTTTTCCCTGTGTGTATGCCTGTGTACTGTGTGCATGCATAGTGCTGGTAGAGTGCAGAGTGGGCATCTAATTCTAGTAACTAAGGTTACTAGACAGTTATGATCTGCCATGGGGATACTGAGAATTGAACCTGAGTCCTCTGGAAGAAAAACTAGTACTCCTAATTGTTACTGAAGGTTTTCTTGCCCTACCAGGTCCTGCTGCCCTTTAGTTCCAAATAAACATAAAAAGTCTTACATTAATTAGAAAACTAGAGAAATGTCCAGAGACCTACAATGATGACCCCCAACTAACAATCTGAGTAACAGTGGAAAGGCTACCTTAAATGCCTTTCCCTTATAATGAGATTGATGACTACCTTATATGCCACCAGAGAGCCTTCATCTATTAGCTGATGGAAACAGAAACAGACACCCACAGCTAAATACTGAGCCAAACTCCTGGACTCCAGTTACAAAGAGGGAGGAGTGATGAGCAAAGGGATCAAGACCAGGCTACAGAAACCCACAGGGACAGCTGACCTGAACAAGAGGGAGCTCATGGACCCCCAGACTGATAGCTGGGAAACCAACAATTTAC